GTCATGAGACATTCTCGCAAAAAATCACGGTTTTAATAACGCAGTAACGCAGCGTTCCTACGGGAAAGTAACGGTTATCTAATTACCGTTTTTTGCAATAGTAATCCCTTACTTTACTCGTTACAAGTAACGCGTTACTGCCCATCTCTGGATGCAACAGAGACAATTTGGGGTTCTGAACATTTCTTCATGCAGTCTGGAAGAACTGGGAAACAAACTACTCACCTTCTATTTGTAGCCAACTCAACTTCTACTTCCTCTCCCTTATTTGGACATGAATATAATACTTGTGTAAATCTGCTTGGTTGCTTTTGATTTTTGTATCTCAGTCAGTCAGTGTAGCATAAGAGGGAATAAATATTGCTTACAAAACATAAATTAATTTATGAATAAAGCCTGAGGGGTGACTGCGGGGGGGAAAGGGGTATAGAAACTAATGAAAACATGGTTATGAAGCAGTATGAAGGTCCTAAAATGGAAAGAGAAGATAAGGAGGCCAGTGGTATGTGTGGCATCATAAACAGAAAGCTGAAAATACTGGAAATAACAAACACAGCACATTAATATGAGCCCGGGGTGTTCGATAAGGGGAAAAGGGATGAAAGTAAAGCAGAAAATGAGGCAAGAAACATTAAGATGTCGGGAAGGAATGTATGTAAATCGATGATGGATCAGGAGAAAAGGGGGAGGGTCGACGTGAAAGAAATGCATCAGATAAAAATGGGAGAATATGAGGAAACATGCTTAAAAGAAAAGTCAGAATTTAAAAGAATTGTTCGTTTTCTTTGTCACGATGTGAAGAAACCATATTTGTCTCAGTATCATCAATAAAAATTTAGCTAGCTGCTTGTTTAGTTGAGCATGATAGACTAGATGGAATAAAACAGGAAATATCTAATACAAATAACATAGTTAGCTTAACATAATTAGTATATTTTAACTTTTATGTTATTTTGATGACATACTGTAATTATGTTGACACATCATGCAACAAATCATTTAAAATGATTTGATAAAAAGAAAACGAGTTATAACCATGTCTGTTCTCCAGGTTACTTTGCTGTCCAGATAAGGAAACACTTTCTCTGCATTATCAAAGAGCAGCTCGGCCGTCCTTGAGGCCCTTTTTCAGAGCCAAAACAAACATCACCAAAAAAATTAAATAGGTCAGCGTGCTCCCAAAGGCTCCATTAGGAATTAACCTTTTCAGCCTCCAGTGAAACCTCACCAAATACAGGGTTTCACTGCAGAAACCATTCGCCATACCCGGGTAGTTTGGTTTTGATATTTTGTCAGATTATAGATGTTGTAATATTCAGTACTAATGTTGACTCTCCTTTAATAAAAAAACCAGCACTTCCTAGATCAAAGCAGCACCATAACAGATACGATCTCCTGGCTTTGCTTCTGTTTTCGTCTGATGACAAAAGCAGAGGTGAGTTTTTCGGGTCAGGGATAACAGTTCAGTGTAATGGAAGGTGGATACAAGGTCACGGCACACACTGTGTACACTTTAGTAATTGGCCGGGACTAATGCATCATGAGTGGACAAGACTCTTTTTTTCTGAAGCTGTAATAGCACAGGGCCATTTTTTTTTTAAATTCGCTGTAACACAGATGTGTTTGTGGTGTAAAAGCTTAAAAAGCTTTACACTGACATTTTTTTTATCTTTTTGCATTATTCACCTTATAGATGAGCTGCAGATTAAGTCCTCAGTCCGGGTGAAAGGAGTTAACAGTGAGACAGGGGAAATAAATGAATGATTATTAACATCAGTTGTTGGCAGCTTTGTCAAAGATCACCAACTGGACGCTTCAGGTGCAATTGTTGATGAGACTAGTTGAAATAACTAAAACATCTTCATCCTTTTCAACTCAGTTTGAACTTCCATTGCATCTTGTTTCCGTCTTTCTGCCCTCTGCAGAGTTCTCGAGGGAGAGTCTATTAGAGGCTGCCGGTGGGCTCGAGTGTCCCCTCTCCAAGGAGAAAGAGGATTGTTTCAGTGTTGCCAGTGTAGCAGATCCCTCATCGCAACAAAACAATGCACAAGCAGGTACATAACTGTCATTAGAGCCTTGCTTTTTGCAGAAAATGTCTCCAACGTGGTCTTTTCCTCAGGGGACTCCTCGTCCTCCACGCAGCCGGCAGGATTTATTTAAATTTGTTAAACTGCGCAACAGCTTTGGCTTGCTGTCATATAATCATGGCTCGTCAACAAACATCTGCGAAGTGGCTTTGATCCCCATTTCACAGAGC